CTTTACTGTACTTTGCAAGACAACGGTCGTTTAATACGTCCATCCGTTCTTTACATGTGGTGCTGGGAAAGGGTGACTTACTGCAGGAAGAGCAGGAGGGAGCAGTGTTTGCAGGGAAGGTTGGGTGAAACCCTTGGACTATATAATCCGGTAATTTGTGTTGCTTTGAGCAAGGAGGCACGTGACCAGTCCCTGTGATGGTGATTCTGGCAATGTACTGTACACACGGCAGGGCACATCACCCTCAACCCAACCAGCAGATCACTTTGACTGGTATAAATGTAAAATGGTTTAGTCAGTTTAAAAAAAAAAAAAAAAATCGCATGGACATTATGTTTATTTCTCCCACAGAATCTGTTTCTTTCACAGTCTTTCAGTCACTTTTCTGAAGAGCAGAGTCTTTATTTCAGACATCTGCCTATAGAAAATAAGTATTTTTTTTTTAAAGGGCACATTTAAAGATGAAAGCTGAGGCTTGAATAACTTAATCAGCATACAAATTACACAGATATAAAAGCTCTCTTTCATTGTCTTAACTTACAGTTTATTTTGTACAGAATTCATTATTTTATACATCTAAGACTTATATTGTATAAATACCTTGGGTGGGATGTATATACATATTCAGTGTTATAGATCCAGCAATTAATGTATGCATTTCACAATACACTATAGTGTATTTCAATGTAGTGCACATGATTTATATTTCAGAAAAGAGCATATCCACTATGAAAAATTGGTATTTCATTCATAGGGTACTCTACCTTGAAATACAGGGTTTTTTCCATTATATAATGGACTGTTTGTACTGTGTCATATGGCTGTAAGATTTTCTTGTACATTCCCCAATATGAATTAAGAAACAGCAGCTCAAAACGTTAATCTATGTGGTTCTACACCAAGAGGAGAGCAGGGCACTGGTTTCTTAAGTCCTTACTGAAATGAGAAAGGCGGTGTAGACAAGTCACGTGGAGCCAGGCTGTGTGTGATGGCCAAATGAAAGAAAAGGTTCTGCACATGTGAAGACAACTAGCTCTTGCTTCTCCATTCTCTGTATGCCAGTGTTCAGCTGCCATAAATCGCTCAGCTCTGATACAAGAGTTGAGGGTCTGGCATCAGCTTTATTTTTAAAGTTCGCAAACTCCCCATGTTCCATTAATCCACTCTGCTTACAGAATTCTCCCTGGGTGTCTCCTGGTACACGTATCAAATACTACATACTGTCTTTCCTTGACAGCAGGCAAAGAAACTCGCTCACTATGTCTTCCCTCTACATACCGTAAGTAAGATGTGCTGCTTGTTCAGTATTGAATTACAGGTCTCGCTTTCCTGGGCACCTACTGAAGTGTAATTCTAATTAATCTGTCAGTATAGTTTGTTTTCTTTTTTAGACAATTCTAGGTTCCTGAATACATACACACAAACATACATACATATTGTGCCTTTTGATCATTCGGCTACCTTTGCTTTGTAATCTCAATAGCAGAGATTCTTTAATCAATGTATAAATGCTGTTCATTTAACAGCAAAAGTGGAATATTACATACTGCATGAATAAAAGACTTTAAGAGTCATTGAAAAAATTTCAGGCAAACCAGAAAATTGTGTGTTTTAAAAATAGTTTTAAATTAAATTTACTTGCATTTAAAGTGTGTCATCATTTTGAAACTAAAATTTTAGACATTTAATGTAAAAAGGACTGATCAACTCAGAACTATATTTTGCATCAAATATTTTCATCTAAATTATTTTCCTTTTGATTTTATGAGAAGCAGCATAAGCGCTTAAATCAGCATAGATCCAGAACTCCGCTTTATTGGTGTTATTCCAGTTTTACTTAGAATAGAATTCTCTCTTCCCACTTCTTTTTTTTTTTTCATATTGCCATTTTTCCATGTAAGAACTTCTGTGTAGCAAGATGTGATGTAAGCAAAAAGAAAGGTTTTATTTATGAATCTGCAGTTGTACATTTTTTCCCCTTATTGCCAGATTTGGGGAGGGTCTTTTTTGTGGAGGGCTGTATCCAATTCTGGTCTTTAGCTGATCACCAGTAGCGGCTGTACTCCATTCTAAAGGGCTGTATTTGTAATTTGTCATTGGGATAGCTATGTGTATGATGCTTATGACTGCAAAAGTCATGACTCTAAAGAAGCCCCACATTCAGCCACTGAGCCACCTAAGAGCTTCACTGAGGAATATCACAACCACGCTGACAGATGCCGTACCGAGCTAGGACTTCACCCTCCCATGGTAACTAGAACACAGGCCCTAGTTACATGTTGGTTCCTACTCTGGAGTGTATTTTAGAGACATGCTCAGCCAGACACCTGAATGGAAGCATTTCTAGTCCAACACTAATGGTCCTCAAACCCTGTGTTTACAACTGTCTTCAGCAGCAACATCTGAAAGCACAGGGGTTCGCAAGCCATGTGGCAAGTACATGCTGAAAAAGCCCGAGGTCTCCTTTGGTGGCTTCTAGCAATGTCTGCATTGCATGTAGGCCTGTCCTTCCTCCACACGTTTGCGTGCAGCCTGAACATAGAGCCGGACAACCAGGGATTAGGCCTCAGGTACAAGTTCAAGGACACAACAGTATGACAGCAGAGAGGCACCCTAACTTAGTGTTCCCCAGTCTTTCAAGCCGTAGGCCTTGAATGGAAATTTCCTGAACCAGTAAGTAAAGCCGTTGCCTTCTGTTACCCACTAATGAGTGAGAAGAGCAGCTCAGCACACCTCTAAGTCCCTTGGCACTCGATGTGCTTACGTGGCACCAACTAGGGATGGAGCTCAGCATCTGGTGGTACACTGAGCAGAACTGGGGCCACAGTGAAGAAACGTGTCGTGGAGTCCAGTACACTGCTGTGAGATCACAGGTCCACTGGTAAACTTGTGGATATGCATTCATGAAAACAGCTGTGCTGCTGCCCTCTGCAACTACCACCAGCAAGTTGTTTCCCCTGAGTCCAAGACTACATTTATTTATGGTTGGTTTATACTCATTTACTCTTGTGCAAGCAATACGTTTGGTTTATGGTTGGGCCAAATACAAAATAACACATTGGGAAGAGATGTTAAATTCTAAAAAGGGATTTTTATGTTGTTAGTAGTAAGGATCATAGTAGGAATTAATATTTCCTTACGAGGTCTGGATCATTTAAAGAGGAGAGAACATTTGTTAAACAACCCAAAATTTCATTTGACGCGCAAGTACTGCATCTCTTGTGAAACAGAAGCATGTCTGTGGTCTATTATTTTATCTACTTAAAATTAGACTATAACAGATGCCATCCCCTCACTATGCAGTTCAGTGCCAGCAAACGTAAGCGTCTTATCACTTATATAAGCCTGGTGTCCTCACTTTCTAGTCTCACCATTAAAATTCTCATATTTTGCAGCAGTTACATTAAACATTTTCCCAGCTGTGGATTAGGATCCAAATGCAGAATTTCCCATAGTTAAAGTTGTCTGCTCTGTTCTAATATCAGAACTGAATTACAAAATTCAAATCCTATCTTGATCTACCTAAAAGATGGGAGCTATGGTATGTAAGGCCGTTGTAATTTGGATCTTGTGTTTATTGCACAGGATCCATCACAAGAACATGTGCTTTATTGGTTTTGTTAAGTATTGTGTCTATTCAGTTCTTTTCTAACTGTAATATTTCAGTCATCCTTCGGTAAAAAAATACATGTAATGCATATGAAACAGCAGCTTTGAATCTCTGGCATGTTTTCTTTGTTAAAATTGAGAATAGTCACTTTATAATGTGCACAATATGTCTTTTCTTTCCTTCTTCCTTTTTTAATGAAACAAGGTGTAAAGTTTTTCTCTTTAACAGCCTTATGGTCAGAGAAGTTTTAGACAAGGTCTCGGGCATTAGCTGTTGAGCATGGACTCCTTTGTCCTGCTAAACTGTACCATCAGTGTATTAATTAGTACAGACTAACAGTGACTCCAAACCTTTGCTTATTTCCTAGGAAATTTCCTTCCTATTCTGTGCATTTCAATACCACATTTGACTTTCTCATTCTGGTAATAATTTGCATTGCCAACCAAGCTGCTGTTTCAGCAAAGCACTTTCCTTTGGAGTATGTGCTGTTTGTTGCAGGTTACTTTTTCACATTAGCAATGACAAAAGTAAACCCAGGGCTACTCCTTGATTTTTATTTTCCAGGGTTTATTATTGTATATACAGTTCCCTGTAAGAAGATACAACCCTTTCCCAGTAAGAGTTCTAATACCTTTCTATGTTTCAAATACTAATGACCCATATACCCACATGGAAAGGAGAAAGATAATCAGTGATGAGGGAGGTATCTCCAGGGGCTGATGCAGATGAGTACAAAACTTAAATCATTATAAATATTACTGTACTACACTTTGGTACAACTGAAAAAAAACCCTCCAAAGAAAATATTTAATGTTCCCTAAGTCAAATAAAATTCATAAACAATAAAAAAAGGAATTAACCACATGGGGAGTTTTATATCTGTAAAAGATAATAAGACTACTTGGCTGCATTGCACATAGGCAATAAAATTAGATTCATTCAGATCCCTTTTAATGTAAGCCTTGTTTCAGGCTGTAAGCAAGAAATGTCCACTGTGCTTTACAAAGGACGACGACTAGAAAAATCAATGCAAACAAATATCCCTTTCTTTTCTGATTTACCATTTATCATGAGAGATGACAAACAAATGAAGTCTCCTCTGAGTCTGCGCGTAGTTGTATTAGCATTTTGCTAGTACCAGGCAGTATACAAAAACAGCCATCATGTGTGACACCTCCAACACCTACAGGAGGCTGTTTTAGGGGCACATCCTGGTTTGTGGTGAAACAGGTTTAACTCAGCCAGCCTCTTGTACCTGCCCAGTGATATTGGGTTATCGTCTCAGTAACTCCAAGGTTGGACCGTCTCATTCCTATTGCTGACTGGACTGACTGCTCCACCATCCATAAACAGAAGGCATAAAGGTGATTACAAACATAAGAAAGTAGTTTTACATATTGTCTTGCAGTCTTTCCATATAGTCCCTAAGTTCCTTGGAATCACCAAGATTCATATCTTGGCATACCCATTTAATATTATCATCACTGTCAAATAGAATAGAATTGGTGTAGGGGCCTCCATCCTCTGGCAGTATTGTGGTATATGAAGTGAACTTTACTCGCTTCTGTTTTGGCCCAGAAGGATTTATAGGTTCACTTTTGACTTCTTTTTCACAAAGGTACTCAGACGATCTGAGGATATGATTATGAAGAGTCTTCTGAGAACTCCCATTAAGGAGAAAGTTGCTTTCTTCAAACTGCATTCCTCTGTCAATCATGGTAGTGCACTCCTCTGACGGGAGCGAAATGTCAACTGGGTTTTCCAGCAGTTCAACCTCATTTCCAAGCCAGACCCAATCATGGGAATGGGGGATGTTGCCTTGCTCACTCACAGCAAACCTTTTATGCCTGTATTTCCAAGCAAATGCCACACAGTTAATCAAAAAGACCAAGATTGCTAAGCAGAAAACACACAGCAGGGCATACATGCCAATCTCCAAATCTGTCAATCCTCTTGAAGTCAATGTGAGATCACTGGGATTGCTTTCTCCTGGTATTTCTACTTGCGTAGGGAAACCTGTGAAGGCAGTTGGGTTATTCTGGAGCTGGCCATCCTCCAGGGACTCCTGATCAATGGGAGATACGAAAGTTGTGCTTTTGTTTGCATTGTCCTCATGACTGGACGTGTCCTCATGGTTTTTGGACCATTCTTGTGCTGTCCTCTCTTGTTCTGCAGGTTTCTCTATAGAATTGCTTGCATGGCTTTTAAAATCTCTATCCACATTGTCAATGTCATTAGTGCTTCCTTTTTGGTCAGAATCTTTGTGACCAAACTTCACTTTGACGCTTCCTTTCCCAACAGCCAGAATGCTCTTCCGCTTAGTCTTCTGACATGGCTCGCTGATGACCATTTCAATTTTAATCAAAGGTCCTTGCCCATCCCCTTCCGCCATGACCCCAGGCCATTTGGACTGAAGGTTTTGGTGTGCTGACACTACCATCTCATCCAGTGAAGTGATGGTGATCGAGAAATCCTTGGAGTCATAGATATCCAATGGCGTCACTGACCCATCACTGAACAAAATCCAAGCACTGACTATGGCTTCCTGGAGGGAGAAAAGACAAGAAAAAAAATGTTTGAAAGGTAAGACAGCGCGTATCAGACACTCAGTTGTTTAAGTCTGTTTGACACTGGCAAAATAAATACCTAGCTTAACTTGGGTTTATTTTGTTTTTTAAAAAAAGAAAATTGCCTACTCTGCTTCTCATTTTATTCTTGCAAATTTTTGTCTCTAGACCACTTACACATTTATTTCATTTTCAGGAACTATCAAAGACATGGTCATCTAAATTTAGTAGAAGGTGTTGAGGAAAAAAAAATTGACAATTCTTTTTTTCAGTCTAAAGTGAGAGGCCTCTTTTGAATGCCGGGGCCCCATGATGAAAATAATCATGTTTCCAAAGTCCTGGTTAATTAATTTTATAAAGGACCTATGATAGGAAATTTCTGTATTGCTGCAGTTCGAATGGCATATTTAATACAATGTGCAGAGCTGTTCATGTGTCAGGATCATGATTCTATTCAGCTCATTGAAACAAATCAGGTTAAGAACACATCTTAATGCAGTATTTTAAATTTTCTGTCACGCTTTCAAATATACAAGATTATGTGAAATATGCAAAAGTGATTGTAGTCCTTTCTGGGAACTATAGAAACACTCACAAAACTGCCACTTTTTAAGGATGTTTTGGCCAAAACAATTTGTCTTCTTACAGCCAATTGCTAGCGCTAAAAAGATAGTCACACCTTCTCTAGTAATATAAAGTCTCAATTCTATAATAAATGCAATTAAAAAGATACATGCAATTTATTCTGTGGTCTCACCAAAAGCTATTTGATTCCTCAGATTGTACGGTTCAAAGTAAGGACAAGCTCATCAGATTTCAGCAATGCAGACCACAAAAACTTCCATATGTGCAGCCAAACAGTCCTTTTGGGCTGAACTGACTTTGTGAGACTATTAAGGCATGGGGTTTCTACCTCTGCTTACATACTGAATCATATTTTCCCACAGGAAAAGTGTCTTGAGTGGCATGTGCATGCTTTCTACAGCATTATGCATGCACAAACACGTCCACCACTATCCCTGTGCTGCGCAGGTCTCCAGACCAGTTTAATGGTCAGTCTGTATGGGTGTTTGCCCCTGTAGGAGCTGGTCGGTAAGATGAACAGCCTTTACTATGTGAAGTTACTGCCTTTCACAAAGCCATACTTTATACGTGCTGTCTAAAATTTACAGCAAGCAGCTTTTCCCTAGCTTCTGACAAAGCACAGTAAACAAATAAATTAATTCTATATGCTATTTTGGATCATACCTGTTTCGGAGTATTAAGGATATCATATGCAGAGGTGGTAGAAACGATAGCTCTCTTACTTCCTTTGCTGATTTGTAAGGAGAGGGACAAGCCTGAAACTAGTTGTACTCCTAGATCTGTAATGGTTACACGGTCATCTAGAACTATCACTGTCTTCTCTGCCAAGATGGAATCGGAAAGAGGTGACAGAACCTTGAAAGAGAAAGCAAACGCCTTGCATGACACAGCAACTAACTGTTTGTAAAGCAAGATTAGACTCTAATTGGCATAACACTTTGGATTAATCTCGAGTTTGTCACATCCATGTATTAGCTATAACCGATGTTTCCCCCAAGATGTTACATTCATTTGCTGCTAAATTACTTTATTTACAAAAATAATTTAATGAACAACCAATCACTTTAAAATTGCAGCTTCATCTCAACAATGGAGTATAGATGAAATTAAATGGATTTGTTTTTTTTAAAAAGAGTCATTTTTGTGTGGTCTATAAAACCTCCTATGAATGCAGCATAGCAGAAGACATAGTGTAAGACACTGATTAACACTGGAACTCAGTAAGGGAGTAAATAAGGGTACAAAGCCTGGCCAATAGGAACATGGCCTGCTTTATAGGGACAGAGGACCTGAATCAAATGAAAGTGAGATTTGCAAAAGGACTTTGAAAATCCCACTGGGTGTCTGTCTACATTTTTCAATGCCAAAACAGTCCTGCCAGTTTGTTCTAAGACCTTGTTTCTAACATGCTCAGAAGGAGACAGTCATCTTTCTACTGATGCCAGAAACAGCTGGTTCAAGCCTGAAATATTTGAGGTGCGATTTGTCTAAAGTAACATGAGAAATCTACAGCGTAGCTACCTGCATCAGAGCTAGCTGCCTTCTGCTCTTTTATAGCCACTGGAGTGAGAGAGACAGAAATCCTTTGACCTCTTTGTGACATTTGGTTTAGGCTGAAAGGAGCTGAGCCCTAAAAGTACCTGTTCCTTTGTGTTGAAACTTAGTGTGACCAGAACATCACGGATCTTTGTAGTTAGCAAGAAGACCCCCAATACTTGTGTTCCTTTATTTCGATTAAGAAACATGCATGAAGTTGGATAGAGAGACAGGTGGTGAGTGTGAACACTCTGAAAGATACCTGAAGATTATTTTTGTGTCCATTGTTTGTGTTTCATTTTGTGAACATAAAGGGACTAATTTTCAAAGATGTTTAAGCTCATAAAGGTGCATGTAGATCTGGTAAAATTTCCTAACAGTTCGGTTTGTAAGGTCCCGCTTAAATGAAAAGAACCTAGTTGTGTGCATCATGTAACCTGTTTCACTGTTCAGAAAATCTCACTGTGTTGCTAGTCACATTGACATGGGTAAGTCCCTTCAGAAGTTTCACCTAAAGGTATTTTAGGGAAGTGACAAACAGCAAAAATGAAAACCCATTCAAACTTCCTTTTATGTTTAGCATGTAATTTTTTTTCAGCTTGTTTTTTTCTGAGAGCAATTCATTTTATAAGCTAACTAGCTGTTGTGTGTGTGCATCCAGAGCCCTCTCTACAGAAGCTGCAGATACTTCTTAGGCTGTACCTGGACTGTGGTGATGCCATGCTCACGACCAACCAGAACTCGGCCATCTTGAAGCTTAGCAATCTTGGGTTCTTCTACCTTCATGAAATCAGTCACAAGGTCAGTGATGTCAAACTGCCACTCAGAGCCTAGCATATAGGTCAAGTGGCCTCCAAACTCAGAGGATTCAGCTACAAACTGTGTGAGGACCCGCACCATGGCATGCTGATACTGGAGGGTACAACCTCTTCCTTTTTTCTCATCATCCTCTTCGTCCTCGCTGTCACGGGTAGGCCTGTAAATAGATCCAGGTTTGTTATCTGCATTGCCATGATCTCCCTACAACACTGCAGAGCTTCAGTTGCATGGCATTTTCAACTAGATTAATGTTACCATCATCTGCTACTGTGTGAGAAATAGGAAACCAGATGCTGGATGTGTAGGTTACTAAATCTGGGCGAGATGCTTGTATGGCTTTTTTGTGCGGTACAATTTAAAAGCTCCTGTCACTTCAGTTAGTGAATTCTTTGAGCGGGACCTTGCAGCAACTTGAAAATATGTCTGCCATTGCTGAGATTTCAGTGGAACCACCGCTTGCTCACCGTGTCTCCAAGTGGCAGTCAAATCTTGCAGAGGGCTAAGGAAAACAGCGTGAAATGTTTGAGAGGGAAGTTCTGGAACAAACCCCTGCAGCAGCTCAGCAGGGATGGGAGATTTTTCACATCCTTTCCTCCACTTTCGCTCATAACATCTTTATCGCTTTGCTCATCTCTTCAAAACTATTTTAACACATTCGGGATTCCCTGCATAGCTAATGCCACCCCACCTTATCCTATGTCTCTGCCTCATAGGTTCATTAAGCCCTCTGCATTTGAAAAATATACCATGATTTCAACTTATATTGCACAGTTCATGCAAGTGTCTTGGTATATTTAGTCATGCAATGACAACAGGGGCCTTCCAAAAAACCAGATTAGGCACTTAAGTTACCACTCAGCACATCAATTACTCAGATACAAACACCATGCCAGACCGGTGAGATTACCACTCACCCCACAGAAACAACCACAGCACTAGACATGCTTTCTTTAACACTTTCTGTCCCCCTTGCAAAATATAACCTGTGACAATATAACAGCTTCCCATAAACCTTGTGTAAGGCATCGCAGTGATCTGAACATTACAGCAGTGCTGTCACACCTCACAGAATTTTGTCTGGTTTAAAACCCAGTTTCCTATAAATTCTTTGTTGTTGTTGTTGCTATTTATTCCTTGGGACAAACACATGGATTCTTTTATCTCTTTCAAGTCAGGTATTAAGCACTAGGTGGTCACACTTTTATCCATTATGCCCCCATGCTGTGGAATTCATCACTCAGAAATAATTTGTCTTCCTCCTTTACTTATTTATTGAGCCTGAAGCCACCTCTATAGCAAGGGTGGGAAATACAGGGTAAGCCTTCTATTTTTCACAGTATTTTGGGAAGTAGTTTTGTGTTTACTGTGTTCCTTTATCTTCTTTGAAATACTAGCTATGAAAAACTATTATAAAACAGAATTGCTTTTGTTATAAATTGTTTTATGACAAAGTTGGCAAACAATAAGCTGAAAATGTATCTAAGAAAAGCCCTTATGTTCTTCAAAATGATAGAAAGTCCCCGTGTTACAGAATCTAATACACTGGAAATACATTTTCAATGCATCAATCGTTAGCTGAATATATATATCTGGCCTCAAGTAAATGGTATTTGGTATAGCCTTTTTGGTTTTGTGTGTGTAAAACAGCAGTCGTCCATCATTAGTTGCTGAATGAAACATCATTGAATAACTACTGAATTGTTAAGAAAAAAGCAGAATCCTAAAATAGGATATACATTACACAAAAAAATTAGCCTTACAGAATTAGACTAGCTGGGTATTTCAGGGAATTGTTTTCTCCTTCCCAACACAAGTGTCAATCTGGACAATGAGCTGAAGCCAGCCAGTCAGCAAAACAGTGGCAAGTGAAATACTAGAAGGGGGATATTCATAGAGCTTATGTGGCCCATGCCTATTTAGATTGCTTTTGGCTTTATAATACTATGAAAGAGTTTATGAACACCTTAACATTCCCACTTCCAATTTATTCCTGTATTCTGACCCTCTTCAGCTCATGTAAACCATAACCCGGCTCTGAATAATCTCAGACTTTGGGAAAACCAGATTTAGCTCTGAGCTTTTAGGGTTTGACCTTCTTTTAGTAATACAGATAGTACATTAGTACCTGTGCAGAATTGGAGAAGAATGCGCAGGAGCTATTTCAGGTAAGAAATACTTCGGGATTTTGGGGAAGAGATCCAGTTTTCTTATGGGAAGAGAGACACAGAACCTGTGTTCTGTGGCTTGAAGAAAAATGTTCACATATTCAGCTTTCACACTGACTTAATTTTTTTACAGAACTCTGTTTTCTGTTTCTGTTACATAGCCAGATGTTTTGCTCAAATCCATGTGTTACTGTTATTGATATTTATTTCTGCACTTATTTATTTCTACTTTCACTGTTTAAAACTTCAACCTACTGGACTGCCCAAGAGGAACTATATTCAAAACAACTTTGAGAGAAAGAATTTTTCAACTGTAGTCCCACACAACTCCGAAATGTGAGTTGTGGGAAGAATGACTAGAGATAAGAAGTGTTGCATAAGAGCACAGAGGGAGCACTCCTGCCCTTATGACCAGGCTTCAGAGTGTACAGGCAGCCAGTACTACCAACAAAAAAAGACGATTGAAGTCCAACTCTTTCCTTGTGGTATCGCTAACAAAGGTAAGGGCTCCATTTTGCTGCAAAAACATTTACAGGTGTTTGCATCTGTATACTTCTCCTTTAGAAATACATGGTTTCTATTGCATGCAAATGTGGAACATAAGAAAAGCGTCTCTAAACCACGGAATGGGCAAGGCACTTTCTTACGTCAGTGCAAAGTAAAAAGAGAGGTGTTTGAATTTTCAATACAAGTTTTGCAAGTGTGCTTTACCAGGTACCAACTCAAATTCTTTCTTTTTTTGAACAGATAATAGCCATTTCCACTTCAAAGCCACAAATCCGTGATTCAAGTCGGAGCATTTCAGTGTTTCATCTCCATGGGCCCAACAAAATGTTTGAGTTCCACTGAATTGCGTACTTCCCTTTAGAGTCTTAAACTTCTGGTTACAGTGTATTCAGTAGGCTTAAAATCCTTCATTACGCAGTGAGCTCATTTTCTTTTTAAGACATGCCTTCATGAATATAAGCTATCGCTGCATGTTGTGCTTTTTTTCCCCTTGGTCATCTCCGAGGTTAGCTCTGGATATGTCTCAGAATACTACTTGCCCTATTTCTTTGCTGCTTGGCAAACTTGCTTGGAAGATTTTTTGCTTTCCTAGAGTGAACCAAGGTTGCCAGAATTACATTGAATTTACGTGTCACACAGAGAAAGCCTTTGTCAGAGAGCTGAGTTAAAACAGCAGCCCTGTTACAAGGGTGCCTGCGAGCACTGATCTAATCAGTGATCTGTCAAGTCTGCATTACAGACACTGTCTGTGAGCAGTTTAAGTGTGTCTCTCTTAATTTGCACCACTCTCAAACCAGACATCAAGTTCTTGGGCCAGATGCTAATTTTCTGTTAAAAAAACCCTAAAGAAATCAGTTTTGCTGGTTTTGAATTTGAAATAGTCGTTAAAAAGAATCATGTCTTTAAAAAAATTTGCAACATCCCTAATTGAAAAAAAAAAAAAAATCTATTTCAGATACAAAATACAAGGCACTAGAACTTGATTTAGTGGAAGCTACAGAAGTAAGTAAGTTGCACATAGCTCCATTCACGGCTCAAGAAGAAATGCAATTTGGTACCTTTACAGATCTTGAAAATACAGTCTACCTATTAAGAAAAGTCTCCATGGCCTTATCTCCATAGGACATTACAATCAGTTTACTAAATGAGTGAATTTACAGCATCTTCAAGCTTTGTGTGGATGTCGTTATTCACAAATGGAATGGTTTGACTCCAGTTTCACTTAATTCACCTTGAAGTGTGGCTTTATTTCTGAGTGGCAGCACTCACACAGAGGTTTAGCTAAAGCAGTTTATTTTTTCCTGCGTTTAACTTAGGCTACCTTTCCTGCTTTTGCCTATAGTACTAGATGGGACCAAAGTAGAGCCACCACCTAATTAACCTTTTGTTCAACAGACTGCCCTTCATAAGCAATTACCATGTCTGGCTTAACTCAGTTTCGAAGGTTTCTGCTACTCAGAGGTTTGCAGTCACCATGGCGGAGCAATAGTCTTATCACCTATTGTTTGGTAAGGCCAGACACCGGTTAAAGTCCAGTAAACTATGTGCCTGACACTGAAGAGTACGCTGGAGTCATACTGTGATGTCTGCCTCCCTGGGAGCCTCATGAAAACAATGTGCTTATCCCAGTGGCAAATATTTACTTAAATTTCCAGCTTGTTCTGTGAGACTTTAGCCAAGCAATTCCTATTAATGCAAGTGGAAGCCACTCATCCCATGTAAATATATGTGCATAGAGCTCGTGCAGGAACTTCACGGAGGAGGTAATTATTCTGCAGATGCACAAGGAATCAAAATAAATGTTCTTGTTAGACTAGCAGAGTCTGCCTGGACCTCTTCTATGCTCTAATATTTGACTTTAATTTAATTATACACCTTTTGTTTGCTGAGATTGCGGGCTTTTCTGCAGCCCATTGCAGGAGTAGAGTTTCTGTTGGCCCATGCTGGTTCAAGGACCACATACCATGTCCTGAGTTGATCTGTGGAGCTGACTTTCATCTGGAAAGGGAGGGTCTTCATATCTGCAGTAGCACACACCACAGATCATATTCTCCTCTGGTTTGCCGTGTATTTACAGACTGATCTGGTAAATTGTCTTCCTGCTCTTACATAGGGAAGACTCTTTTTTTTCCCCAGTTTCTGGCTTAAAAGCAGCCTGGTTTTTCTTTCTGTTCCTCTAAGCAAATTTGGGCTCTTACAGCAGTTCAGACCAGGTGAAAAATGACACAGTTCAAACTGAGCAAGGCATGTGGCGTTTGTAAAATTTTTGTAATGACCCCATCTTTTTCACTGCTTTGTGGAAATTATTTAAGAAGTTAGGTAATTAACATGTCTGTAATCACATGTATTTTACAATTACAAACATGACAGGGTTTATAGGGAGAAGCAATACATTTTACTAGATCAACGAACATCATTGGAAAGAACAGATGTGATTTGGGGTATGTAAACACTTTTTCAGGTCTGAAATAGAAGCACCTATATTCAGATGAAGAACAGCCATGCTGAGGCAGTGGTTTCAAAAGCATTTCTTTTGTTGTCAGCACCAATAAAAACATTTAAAAGATTATAGTAAAGCCAGGTGTATTTTGCCATCTGGCTCAGCCCCTCAGACAACTGAAGCAGCACAGCCATGCTGAGCGTGTGGGAACGAGGCAGGGGGGGAGCCAGAGGAGATGAAGGCATGTTTGGAGATTGCTGAAGTGTCTCTGCACAATTCCTGTAAGAAATGCTCAAAAATTTTACCTTCTCTATATTAATGAATTACTTTATAGCAATGTTTAGTTCTTGCCAAGACGACAAAGGAGTGGTGTGAAGTTACCAACCCTAGTGGACAGGAGGAGAGTAGAAAAACTGTTTTGTCTGTGGTGAGGTGAGGAATGAAGATGACACATTACAATCTTTCCATGACTAAACCTGAGGACAGTGACATAGTTTCAGTTGGCCTGTGGACCATGTGTGACTGAATGTAAACTTAAGATTGCCTAAGCCTATTGGCAGGGAATTCCAAAAGAATCCAAGGCGTACATGCCCTCTTCTTTTCAAATTAGTTTCCTTTAAGAACAGAATATCAAAAACGTCATGGAAACTGCAAATACTGACTTTAATGAAAATGAAGTTGAAGGAATACAATGCTGTGGCTACCACATCTCCTGGGAAATGCTTGGTGGTTTTTTGTTTTTGGTTTGTTTTTTTTTTTTTTTTAAGATTAAAGCACTCTCCTCTCTCTTTCAGACCTCCTCTCAGGTATCACCCAAGACAACCTTCTCACTGTACAGCAGTGACACTATTATACATACTGGGGGGCACTGTGAAGAATTACAGGCTGAGCCATTGTTCAGAATAAGACAATACAGCCTTCTGGATATATCACTGAGTGAGCGTTTCAGGAAACCAACCTGCAGCTCCTGACTCTAGGCCAAATGTCTTGTGTGCTTCAGGCCACCATTTATAAAAACTCCCCCATGTTTAGGATATTGGGGAAACATGTAGCCATGAAGGAGGGAGATAGAGGTAAAAATTAAAGAGAAAAATGAAAACAAAAGGAAAAGCCACTCATCTCAGGTAAAACCCATCCAAATCTAAAAATAAAGGAAATGTAAAAACCTTATGTACAAAGTAAATGTCAGAGTGAGCACAACTAATGCTAGTCCTAGACTGCCTGTTGATTTAGAATATCCCCTAACATGAAAAAAAAGAACACATGAATGTTCCATAAAACAAGAGATAATTTATTTCTAGTTGAAACCTTTCCCATTCACACGGGCATGGACTGCTGACACACAATGTCATAAACTACCAGCTGCAATTCTGGGGAACGATACAGTGTCCATACTTTCTCTTCCGCCCTTCACAGAAAATGCTTGCTGAAGATGTGCCAGCAGTTCAGATGTAATCTGAGCAGCAGCAAACTCGCAATGCTTGCCAGCTTGCAAACAGAGCAGACTCTCAGACCATTATCTTTATTTCAGCTGGCCAAATAAATCAGAACTGGACACCAGGGGGTAAATTTCCAGCACTGTGTGTAATGGGTTTCAAGTCAGAATGTCCACGACTGTTAACCACAGCTGAATGTCTACCTCACTGAGCTTGCTGCCGAAAGTTTACTCCTATAATAAACTTCAACAGCCTAATCCTGCAGCCTTTTATTCAGCAAAATCCCCACTGGCTTCCACAGGAGCTGCGCCTAAGGGAGTGTTAGAGCACTAGGCACAGTACAGGCAGAAGAGGGGAAGGGAAACTTTAAGCAGCCAGCATATATTCAGTTCATTCATCACCTAGCACCTCTCTTCGTCCACAAAGGGTAACTTTGTAGCTGAAGCAAAGGCACAAATTTCTCTTGGGCCAGATCCTCATCACCTCTTCTGTCACAGCCAGAAATAATGTCCACACAGACAAGAGATAAGTCAGTCCCCTTCTTTGGCGATCGTTATCTGAGTATCTGGTAAATTGTGTCCTATTACCCTTAGCTTTATACCCTCGTTAACACATTAGATAATTCTACCCCACTGTCTGTTTGGGCTCTTTGTGGCTCTTCAATAGCTGAGACGTTCTCCTGCTTTAGCTAGAACTGCCACAGTGTTTAGCACTGCAGTTACTGCTGCCAGAAATGCGTTCTCGCTGTGTTATAAATTTGAGCTGGTATCATGCCTTGTTCTCCAGTCTTATTTTTCAACTTAACTTAGCCTGAAATCCACCAATACAGCAGTGTTCCTGGAAGTTCTTAATCTTGCAATTTGTCCAAATGATGGTTATTCCAGATGGGTATTTTCAGTAGGGAATGATGGGTACAGAGCTCAAAATCCCTGCTCCCCCGCCCCTTTCCACATCCACATTTGTTCTGGTAGAATCTTTTCATCAGAATATAGTCTTTAATAGGAGCGCAAGTGGTTTTCGGCCTAATTCAGATCCACTAAGTAGCGCTTCAGCCAGGCTACTGTACAGTGCGTCTGTACAGAGACTGAATAATCATCCCAAGTCAAAGAATCTCATAGAATGGTTCGGGGGGGGAAGGACCTCTAAAGATCATCTAGTCCAACCCCCCTGCCAGTGCCCAGTGACCTGACTCCCCCCTTGGCCCTGTTTTATTTAGCACTGTAGACAGAAACTTAAGCATTGGCAATGCTGAGTATCACACAGTTACATGTGTAACGCCATGCTCAGGATATAAAGCTGGGTTTGGCTGGGGGGCAGGAATTGCTGCTCAGGGACAGGCTGTTGATCACCGCGTGGTGAGCAGTTGCTGCATTGGGCATCACTTGGTTTTGTATATTCCATTACCACCACCACGACTACTACTACTATTATTATCATCTCTTTCTTTGCTGTCCTATTAAACTGTTTTTATCTCAATCCATGAGGTTTATTTCTGATTCTCTCCCCCATCCCACGTGGGGAGGAGAGGGCAAGCAAGTGGCTGCGTGGTGCTTAGTTGCCAGCTGGGGCTAAACCACGACACAGATGTGAGGTCCCCAGTTGGCCCACCATCCTTTTCCACTCCAAGTGTACAGCGGTGTTAGCTCCAAGCAAATGATACTGTGGGTGCACCATGACACACCTGAAGGAATTGTTGAACTGTTTGAGAGATGTTGGTATCCACATGGCACCGGCAGTGGACAAATTGACACCTCCATGTGGTGAACTTGGAGCTATGGATCTGCCCAAAGGGTTGACAGTCCTGTTACATACAGGATGGGAGAGGTCCAGGTCCTTTTCCTCAGATTTGCACATCGGAGTGTACGGTACGATTTCCTGAGATTGTGTGGAACTGATTAATGCTCCAGGCAAAGCCACTAACTTTTAAATTATATCGATCAGGATAAAATGTAGCCTACTGATACCATTGTTGGATGTTTTAATGAAGGCTAAGACGAAGTATAAAGATAATTTTAAACAGGAGATTTTAGATTCTGAGAAATATGCTAAAAATGTGTTGCGTTCTACAGAGGCCTGGGGCACATACCTGGACTGTACCAATGCTGTAAGCATACCTTTTATTGGCAGTGACGGGTATCCTCCAGCCTTTGATCTGGCTAAGCTCTGTATCAGAGATTTCTATCTGCAGCGGCAGCCGGGGAACCCAGACCGTCACTTCTAATTGGGTGGTAAAATGCTGGTAAGTGAAGTTAACAATAGTATCCACTTTGCTTTTCATTTCCTTGCCATTAACGAAGATGGAGTCACAGCTGGGTCAGAAACCTTGGGGGGGGGGGGGAAAGAATGAAAAAAGATTAATTAGGAAATGAATAAAAGTTCCTGAGGAAGCAGGAGGAATGATACATCAGTCCAAAGACAACACTGATAATGTGAGTCATGCATATTGTATTTTCAGTTTTCTAATTAGTAGCAAACAGTGATAAATGGACCCCAGGGAAACAGTCCTGCTTTCCTCAGTGGATACTAGCCAAACTACAAAAATAATTTTATGATGTTATATAACCTATGTGAATCTTTTATACTAGGCAAATTAAACTCTTCATGAATCAAACTCCATGTGCATCAAAGTTTATGTTTACAACTTGCCTAAAGAACCTGGAAAAAAATGGGGCCATATGTTAGTAAGAAAAAGACTGACTCAGAATCATAAAACAGAATCCTTTCCTTTTTCTTTGAGCACTGTAATGCGAAAGACAAAGATCCCCTTTACGGCTCATGAGCAGAAGTGCAGCAGAAGCATTAATTTTTACAACTTCTCAGTAGTTGCTTTAGCAAAATGTATTCATAGTTGCTTTGTGTCATTCTAAGAAATTACTGCCAAGACTAGCACGTGGGCTCTATAAAACAACTCATCTACCCTCTTGGTTTCAGGGATCCTTTGGCACAAAATCAAGGTCCTGCACACAGATCCTATTTATATGAAGAATATGATGTAGCAACGCATTTGACCTGCATCCTGGAAAGACGGAACGCCTTCTTCATGAGGTATGTTTTTTTAATATATTTGTGAACATGTCTGTGTGTATACTTTTAGATATTCTATACATACATATATACATACACATTTAGATGAATTTATAACATACTTATATATATATATATGTACATGCATATGTACTTGTATCTATATAGAGGTTTGCATGCTGCTTTGAAGCGAGAGAGGTGATAGTCTCCAACAGAGTCCATGTACTGTGGTTTTAATCTTTTAAAACCATGGCTTATGAGATGTAGTTGCGTTACTGAAATGGACTTTGTTCTCTTGTCAGGACTGTTCTGTGTCGTGTTGTATAATGCATTGGGACACAGATCTGAAGGGATTCTGGCTAAGCCAGTGATTAAATTCTGGTTTACTGGAGTTGCAGGGATAACTCATGTAGACTTCAGTGGGGAATATGCTGAAACACAGGTTGGTTTTACTCTGCAAATGCACCGCAAATCTTTTCTGATATTAACAAGAATTAGGGGTTACTGAGCCAAGAAAAATTACAGAAAATGTGTAGCAGCCTTTTTTTTTCCCTCAAAGGCAGTCCTCACATATGACTTTGAAATTAAATCTGTCCTACTTTAAACCTCATACAGAATAACATCATTTTTCTCTTGAGCTGTTAGATGGACAGTACTACTGTTCTATCATCATGTAGAGCACATTTAAGTAACAAAAGCTTGCCTAGATGGTTCTCATAATGCTTCTAAGATTTATAAGTAACTTGTCTCAGAATCAGCCACTTCAGAAGCAAAAGAATACAAGCAACCTTTATGCAGGTCATTCAGCGACAACTTTTATTTCTAGAATTACTGTGACAACATTGAAAATTATGGCAACTCTCAAGCCAAGCATGGAAGGAGAAACATTTAGGAAACATTGCGCCAATTGATCTGTTGGTACATACCCACTGAACATCAACCGTGTCAAATGACTGTTTCATGCTTAGGGAGACCACGCAGCCAAACTTTTCAGATTGTCCCTTTTATAACATCACTGTACAACTAATGTCATTCTTCTGTACTGCTTATTATTAGGTAATAGCTTTGCTAAAGATATTGTCAGGTACTTGAGATTCTTGTTAGAAAAGCTCGCTGTCCGATGATTTTCTCTCCATATGTAAGTAAAAGAGCTGCACTTCCATGTTTACCATTTTCAAGTCAGCTTCTCGGATCCTAATCAATGTACTGAAACTACAATCAATTGCTTTTTTACAAAGGGTCTAGGTCAGATTATGAGGGATGGGGCAAAGGAAACTAAGTCACTCTTCTGGAGAGAATACTCCTTCCACATCAATGCCTAATGAGTACAAGAATTAAAAAAAAAAAAAGAAGAAAGTTTAGGTGTCTGATACAGAGCTTAAAATGGACTCCAGGCTCAGGAGTCCCACAAATGAGATGGATCATACTCAGAATCTTTGTTTCCCCCCTCCTAATATATCACAAGTGTCTCTGGAAAGTTTAAGCACATTAATCAAGCCCATTAATTGAATGAGCAGTTGAGATGCTAAACCATAAAGGCTACATCTAGGGAGTTTTGTGAGAATTAAGACAAGACAGAAATAATTAAGAAAACTCAAAGAGGGAGGGATAAACATCAAGACCAGATCAGGTGAATAACTAATATCTCACATGACAGCAGCTAATGTTTTGGATTCTGTTCTTGCTGCTTAAAATGCTCGTTTTTTTGTCAGAAGGCAAGAAAGGTGCTAAATTAGGGAACTGAAAGATGGATTTTAATTGTAGCTGTAAAAATATCATGGTAGGCTTACAAATTTCTTAGCTTAGATGATAGATGTTGAGACAGAGCCATTCAGTCATTTGTACACTGACCAAGAGGTAGGTATGAATCAGTATACATAACTATGCTATAGAAGTTCACCCAGTGGCATTGTGTAGATTTCAGAGCTCATGTTTCACTTAAGCATATCTTCCAGAAAGTAATCCAGTCTTTGTAAGGAAACTTGAAGAGAGATGTTACTGTGGTTTCAGTCCTGTATCTGGAATTTGGGTTTACTCTATTAGGTCCAAGCAAATTAAAGAATTTAAAGGAAAATTAGGTTTGTGCAAATAAGCCTCTGTTACACTTACATGCATTTAATTACTGCCACGTTTCATTCACTACACCTTACAGCAGTTGTTACTTGAAAGTAGATTTGGTTCATCTGAAGGAAACGAGAACCTTGAGCATGTATAGAAAATGCCCAGCACTCCTATTTCACTTGGGATCTACTGCAGACCCAGGACAGAGAATTAGTTCCATCCAGGTCTCAGATGAGAGCTGTGATTTCATGCTAAGCACACTCTGACACCCTCTCCAAAGTGAAGAGGGAATGAGAAACACACGTCGAGCTTTGGGGACTCAGTGCCAGCTGTACTCTGGCCGATGGCCTACAGCAAATGTTCCCCTTCACTTTCTCCCCTTTTAAGTCTGCTCCATACTTTTCTAGTCACACTCTGACTGCCAGAAGTGGCTCGTGATGCTGCTGGAACGGGAACTCATATGACCCGCTGCTCGAGCTTGGGGAGTGCATGCCTATTTACATCAGAAAGCGCTCAGGTTCGCCGTGGGGCAAGCACTGATGCTGCAGGGACAACAGGCAGAGCTACAGTAGCAGGTGACTTTAACACACAGATTTCTTTTGAGCTGCTGGTTCTAAGGGAACAAAGAGGGAAAACGCAGTTAAATTTCTCCTGCAAACACTGCACAGCAGAAATGTAGAACTGCCACCCTCTCATCTAAAATGCACAGAACAAGCCTGTTTAAAACAGTTTGTCACTATCCATTGTCAACTGCCTGGCAAAATCAGAAAGGAGGGCAGGAGGGCCGGCAGTGTGCTCTGGTACGCAGGTCAAGAGAAAGAGAGCTGCAGTTAACCTCTCCAGGCTTTGAAGCAGGTGGTTGGCTCCAGTCCCCACAAGTAATTGTAAAAAGCACAATTTGCCCTGCACAGCCTGTCAGAGCCTCCTCATTTTAGACTAATCCAGGACAAAAATAGCTAGTAGTCCAAAAGAGTAATTGGGAAACCATTCAATGTTTAGGTCAGCAAAGGTTTACACACCCTTTGGGTGAACAGGTAAAACAGAGGGAATGTGAACCAACAAGAAAACAAAAATGGCTGCTGTGTCATTCATCTTACAGCTTTACATGTAGGTTTGATTCCAAATTTCATACTTTACCCGTAGCTTTTGCAAGGAGACCAACTGAGATAGCTGTAACAGAAAACGATTGTAATCCCTGTGCCTGTTAACCACCCAGGAGTTTTTCAGTTAAACAAGACTTTGCTGCTAAATGCCTGCTTGGCACAACCATTTTTTCCTCATCATTCTCTTGTGCGGGAGGAGAGGGCAAGCCGGCTTCAGGAGACGCCTACCACCCAGGCATCTCCAGCCAGGGGCAGCCTGTCCTGCTGCTCCAAGTTCATCCTCTTCACCTTCACACATACACTTCTCACTGACACCTACACGAATGATGTGCGCGCGCACAGCTGTGCACGAACTTGTATAATGAATTTTAAAGGAAAAACTACTACCCAAAGGAATTATTTCTGTTTAATTTGGTATGAAGCAACAGCGACTAAAGGAATGTAAGAGTGATACCAAGTACAATGCCAAACCGTCTTATGGCACTTTTAATCTGTGGGTTTTTGACACACAAAACTCAAAAGGATGGTGGTACTTTTACAACCCATTTATAGAAGAGGAAACTGAGGCACACACAGTGTGCATCATAACTGGGTCTAACACAGTCTTTTCAGCTGAGAGCTACAGCTGTTTTGTTATCCAGTCAGTTTCCCAAATGACTGAAATTTAGAGTTCAAATTCACCCTTCAAAAGAGGTCCATTTCACACTTGCTTTCAAAAGAGCTTTCACGAGTATTTCAGCAGAACTGGCTTTTACAAGAGGAGTTTTTGCCTGGAGTCAAGATCTACTGGCATCTTAAGTTTAATGGGACAGATGTGCCCACTTCTTCAGTCTTGTAACCCTGTTTTTTCAACAGCAAAACCCAACTTTACTCCAGTCCCTGCCTCAGACAACGCTATTTCTGATGTCCAGCATACGAGGCAGAGCCCCAAACAACAGTCTGGCTGCAGCCACCCAAGTCCTCTGCAAATGGGCCCACCTAGCCCTGGTCTCGGGAGCCAGAGCGCTTGTAGAAGAGAGACCAGCAAATTGCGGACAGTTATAAAAGGTCAGAGGAACAGCACAGAGCGCTGCTCTGCAGCGAATGTGTAAAGGATGCAGAGTCTCATTATTGT